TATACTTCTGAAACAATATTAACCATAACAATGGTTGTCTGTAGAGATTTGTGTTATACTTCTGAAACAATAATATTAACCATAACAATAGTTGTCAGTATAGATTTGTGTTATACTTCTGAAACAATATTAACCATAACAATGGTTGTCTGTAGAGATTTGTGTTATACTTCTGAAACAATAATATTAACCATAACAATGGTTGTCAGTATACTTAATATCTGAAACTTGTACATAACTAAATTGTAAATAAAATAAATTTATGTCAAACACAGAAATAAACAGAAGTGATGCCATTAAAGCAATGGCAACAAGTTTAACATGTCTTCACATCAGCTCATCTGTAATAATACTGGAAGTGATGAAAGTAAATATGATTTTTTATTACAGATTTACGTAGCTTTGATCATCACTTCCAGTGTTGTTATAAACAAGCTGAAGTATAGAAGATGTATTGTTAGAGATGAGCTGATGGAAAGAAGGATCTTCTGGCACATCACAGCATTTCTGAATTTGAAAATCTGTGTGTGGATCAACAACACTGTCTAAAGAATTAACAGGCTGTCCCTTAGCCAATAAGGCCTCAGCATCAAAAGTCACTTGTTCAACCTCCAATCGTACGGTAGCCATCCACACAATTTCACAATTATTTTAACCTAATATATCTCATCATGGTATTGGGTAATCACCAAGATACGCAGACCTTCTCTTCCATTGACACTCCAGAATTTTCTAATAGGAAAACAGAACAACCCTCTTATTATATCTATAAAAAATTAAATTATAACAATAGGCCTAATACAGGGATTCTCAAACTGTGGCATGCATAGCATTGGAGGTATGTGGAGCTAATATTAGTAGTACTCGAAAAACTGAATGTCAAAATTATGAAATCTGTAATAAGCTCAATTTCATCTTCCTGCATATCCTCACAATTGTTCTCGTTTTAAAACACACACCCCACCCGTATACACTTGCCAATGTTTTCTTCATTTCAAAAACTGACAAAAATCACAGCATATATTTTTCAATTGTGCTAGAAAAAACAATCACATCCTTCACATTAATGTGCAAGTGTTAAAAAAATTAGGCCTTGGTTTGTACTTCAAAAAACATTTAAACATAAAAGGTGGTATGCAAGTTTCAAAGTTTGAGAACCAGCATTTTTTAATGAATATGAAAATGTAGGTCTTACACAATAAAATTAGCATTTTACAAAAAAGAAACTTCTTACTTCTGTATAATTAAATACGAGAACAAAATAATATCAATTTACATATATTATTAAACAAACATTTTCTGCACGTATATATTCTAGTGACTTAGTCAGCAACAAAAAATAAATATAAAAATCATCTTTAAATCTTGCTATGACTGATTTCACTTAATTCTGTACAGGTCACTCTTCTCACCTAATTCTGTACCGGTCACTCTTCTCACTTAATTCTGTACCGGTCACTCTTCTCACCTAATTCTTGTTAAATCTCCTTGTTCATTCAAAAGTGGCCAAACAGTTGATGGCGGTTTCTTTAGAGTAGATACCTATCGTGTAGTCTGTCAGTTTAAAATGTATTGTAACAGATGATTTAGGAAACCTATTTGAAAAATTAGCATTTAATAAAAGCAGTATTTTACTCGTCTTTAACAAGTGTTTTTTTACCTAATCATCTTACTGAATGTGGAAAACTGTATATGTATCTTATGACGAGTGCATCCAAGTTGGTGTCGTTTAATTTGAATTTTAAAAAGCATTTGATAAGGTTCTGCACTAGAGGTTAATTAGGAAGTTGGATACTTTCAGTTAAAAGCTGAAAGAATATTGGTTTGTTGTGAAAAATAGAGCAATGATGAATGAAAGAATGTGACAAATAAAGTGGTTTTTTTTATGTCATTAAAGATGGTTTTCTATACCAAATGGTCAAAGAGCCAGCCACAGATGGCATTTTATGTTTATTGTTGAGGTTGCAAGAGTTGAGGTGGGGAAACATTTAGAGAACAGTGTTCTCTACTATCACTTTTTCTAACATGCCTGGTCCCAGAGTACAAAGTGGATTTTTCCAGAAATGAAAAACAAACCAAGAACCCATGATATCCCCAGTCTGCCACACACTAACTATTTTGGCCATGCCCAGCCCCAATCTTTAAACAATACCTAAAATATTAAGTCCAAGTAAAACAAATCTCAAGAGAATTAAATTTATATTTAAATTATTTTATTTTCCAAAACAAAGTTCTTTCAAGAGAAAAAAAGAATATAAGGGAATTTGTGTCCCATGTTTTAAGATTAATTTTAATATTAGCCATCTCTTCTTCTCCATCTTTAGTAAAAAGCTATTAAACAATTTGTTCTGTATATTAGATACACATTAATACACTTTACACTAAATTTGATATCTACAGAAAAACATCTTTCAATATAAATATCACTATATAGTGTTATTTTAAGTTGTTTGTTCTACCAACATATTTTTACCATTGTTTTCTATTAACTGGCATATTTTGCTCATGTATTTAGTGTACATACGCGACTCAGATTGTTGTTTACTAAATGATATAAACAAAGATGTGTAAGCTTTTAAAGACAGTAGCAATTAGTCAGTGACAGTATTAACATCAATTTTACTTGTGCCAAAATTGCTCTTTTAGAATAAATGTATTTGATTCGGGAATAAAATGTATGACTGGTATGTAAAAATGCAAGTGCTGTTTCAAGAACACAATTTCAGTAGTAAGCACATGGCAGACACATTTTCTGTACACTGTAGCATGCTTTAATATTTATATAATTACTGTAAATAAATTATAAATTGCCAGTGTCTAATTATAGACCTTAAATTATTGGTTTATACTTTCTTAATTACTATTCAATTAATGTACTTCACCCTAGACAAAAATCTTTTAGATATAAAATTATTTCTATTATTATAAAAATAACATAAATAAAATATATATATTAGCATTACAAGACCAACTGCTACACTGGGTTAAAATTACACTTTACTTATATAATGTTTCAGGAACTCAGATGACTGAAACGGTAATTATTTACCCTTCTTTTACTTTAGACAGTGGGATCATCTAAGCTTGTAATTATTGAAATACATGTATAAGTACGAAAAAAAGCCTACGTTTTAAAGTTTAGTTTCTAGCTAACAAAAAAAAAATTATACACAAAACAAAGGTATAAACCGGTCATAATATATCTAAATTTCATGAAACATTTTTCCACTTGCCAAAATATGAAACTATTTCCAGCTAAAACACTGTTATATCCACATACAGACTAACAATTCTGAATAAGTTTTAAAAAATTTCTCCAGGAGATCAAGAATTTAATTAAAAGGCATGCATGTATAGTCAATACTAAGTATAACAGAGCAGGTCACCAGCATCATTACACAATCAATATTCAACTGTAACATTGCAAAAAACCCTATGAAAAAGGATAACCATCTGAAACTAAAACCTGTCCAATAGACACAGTCTAGGAAGTTTCCTACAAATAAAGCAGTAACTTTTATTTACAATACAAAAATATTAAATTGTAATGTAAATGGCATGCTTTATACTAGTGTAAAAATTACACTCTATTTCTTACATTTATATAAATTATTCATGTTGACAAATATAAAATAACACAAAACTTACCTACATATGAGAACATTATTTTTAAATAAAAATTCGTATTTGTAGCACTATTTTAGTAGAAAAAAAAAAGATGCATGCCATTTTTGTACTTAAAAGTATCAGTTTACACATCACATTAAGGTTTATGACCTTTATAAATCTATCTAAGCTAAATGACACTGGGCATGATTATTTGGTTAAATTTATGCTTGCAAATAAGTTATAAATTGTGGATAAGAAAATCATACTCATAGCATAAATGATGCTATTCATACAAACAATATATCTACCTTCTTGTTATTCAAAAGTTTAGTTTTCCAGTGTCCATTAGTTTCATCGTTTCTTTCTGTAGACTGTGACAACTGCATACACAAATCCTAGTGAATTAAAACCACTCTGTACAATTATTGCCAAATTCTCCAGTAGCAATAAAGTTCTACTTCTATTAGTATTTTTGGTGACACTTTAATAATAAATTTAAAGCATACGTAACTTTGACTTTCGCTTCAGTCTAGACCTTAATTTGACTTTGAGGTGTCTGAATCAAACTTTCAACAAGTCCAAGTTCCAAATATACAGTAGAACCAAGAGACATCACAGTTTGCTTGCCTAACTTACAACTTGGAACCTTTTCATTGTGTTTGTATTCGTATCATTTGACCTGGACTTAACGTAATTTTTATAATTATAGGCTAACTTCTAAGTTGACTGTAAAGTGTAGTTTGTAAACATTATTCAATAATCCTAAGAATAAGATAAGGACAGGTTAGGTCGGAAAATTCAAGATCAAGACAAGTTTAAATAGCAATCAAACAAGATTCAAATTCAACTATTTCATAATGAAGACGATAAAACTCGTTTGGAAGTTCAATATAAAAAATACAATACTTTTAATAGATGGGCTTATATATTCTCCTAAGGATTTACCCTACATTTGTTCTACTACTAGTACTATCAATTACTCGCCTTACTTCTAGTTCTAGTCTCTAGTTCTACGTGGAAAATTCAACAATTAATCTATACCCTCTGGTGGCACATAGTAACAACAACAAAAAAAAGAAGAAAAAGCCAAAGGCTGGGAGTTTAAAAAATCGTTCAGTTGAAATAGAAATACTCCAGGTTTGTATTCTAAAATTGCGATTTTTTGTATCTATAGCTTTTTCTTGTAATGTGAACACGTCGTGCATTTCATCTCACTTCATTTGCGTTGGAGTAACTTGTTATATAATATAAAGAATATTTATATCTTTATTCTACTTAAACCAATTTTGAAATTCCCAAAACACATAAATACTTTAAATACATGTTACTAGCCAATGTTGTAAAAACTTTAAACTTGCAATACGAAAAACCTAAATTTTAGAATCATATCAAAGTGAAATAATAATGTTTTTATTGTTATTTAGAGGAGCATAAACGTTTTTTTACATAAGTTCATTGGCACAGAATTTACGTGTAATCTTTCGAATAAAAGCAATCAAAGAGATTGCATACCCTTGCCCCACCGCTCCTTTTCGAGATTGCACATGTTTGTATATGATAGCATCAACTTTCACCTTCGAAAACTAAAAAAATCCTTCTTGAATCCAGAGTTATCAATGATCCGGATCGTTTTTTTTTCTTTTTTTGTAGTGCAAAATGAGCAGTTGTTACATTTCTTCTTTGATTTTATTATTATTACAAAAACGAACATGCTCTAAGGATATATATGAACAAAATACAATGCCCATATCACTAGCGTTACAAAATTCTAATAAAATACCCAAACAACAGTATATATGACATTATCTATAGTATAAACGGTATACTGTCTGGCTTGAATAAATAATCAAAGAAATTTGATATAGTGAAGAACTCGGACTCTTAACTATTAGTTCTCTGGTGGGACAATTGCAAGTTTACGACTGGCAACGCTAAAATCCGGGGTTCGATTCCCCACAGTAGACACAGCAGGTAACGCAATGTGGCTTTTCTATAAATACAACCAACTTAACTATTACTGATCTGTACTAATTTATATATCATTTAAAATGATGTGGGTTGAAATCAGTTCTGATAAATATATTGATTTGTATATAAATAAAAATGGTGTGGAGAGGTACCAACTCTATTAAATGCATCGATCTTCATATTTTAGAGACAATATTCTGGACATTATTATCAGACTTGATCTTTCACCGAACTTAGTTACGTTTACATTGATGAGTATACCCATCCCTAGTGTGCCTACTTTTAACACCAATTATATTGAGAATGGAATGATCGAAATTTTCTTCGGACCTCACCCTAATAGAATAGCTTTGGCTTCAGCTGCAACAACGGATTTCTCAATAACTCACCCACCAGACACATTGGATCAGATTGGAAATGATTTGGCGAAGGAATTAGGAAATACGCCGTAACTGCCATAGAGAAATCCGTACGTGTTCGCAAACTTGCTGTACAGCTGCGTTTGTCAGCCTCTAAGGACGATCACACGCGTTACTATGGTGGTCATGAACGTTCTGGGAACCCTAATGTTTGATATTATCGCTAGAGACACTACTAAACTAAGACTGATGACGTGTCAGAGTACGTTGCTGAGTAGTTCCATGTTTTGAGTAAGCAATAGGTTTCAGTTTCTTTATTCGTTTACGAGTTGTAATTTGCAAAATATATGCGAATAACTTGTCAGACCCTAAATTGAGTTTTGATCAAGTTTACATAAGCGTAAAACCCGAAATTTCTGTTATTAAATATAGTATATTTGAAGACAAGCAAATATGAAAACATTCTGTTGATAATAAAACAGTAAGGAGAGAATAAAAGACACTGAGTTTAGTGAATCAAAAATTTTTACCCTCTTTTGAAGACACCTTATTGTCGTACTTTTGTTCTTGTTTTCTCAGTTGGTTGAAGGCTTACTGCAATATACGCTACTGTGACTCCAGTTATATGGCTCTTCCACACATAACGTTATTTGTCTGTTATTATTTAACTCACATACTACGAATCAATGAAAATAACCTTTTTAACAAACATTTTTGTAAGTGAAAAAGACGATATGTGAAAAAACTATAGGACTGGAGTTTGAACCCACGGCCTTTCACTAACATTGCCAATGCTGTACGAATTGAATATCTAAAGGACAAGCTGACTGTGTCTCTTTTCACCTGCTGTACGAACTGAATATTTATAGAACAAGTTGATTGTGTTTCCTTTTAACTTCTGTACCAACTGAACGTCTAAATCAACTTGTCCTTGTGTTTCCTTTCAACTGCTGTATTCAACTTGTCCTTTAGACGTTCAGTTGGTACAGCATGTGTTTCCTTTCACCTGCTGTACCAACTGAGCGTCTAAAGGACAAGTTGACTGTGTTTCCTTTCACCTGCTGTACCAACTGAACGTCTAAAGGACAAGTTGATTGTGTTTCCTTTCACCTGCTGTACCAACTGAACGTCTAAAGGACAAGTTGACTGTGTTTCCTTTCACCTGCTGTACCAACTGAACGTCTAAAGGACAAGTTGATTGTGTTTCCTTTCACCTGCTTTTCCAACTGAACTTCTAAAGGACAAGTTGATTGTGTTTCCTTTCACCTGCTGTATAAAA